CAGCAGTCTTTGCGTGCTATGAATCGCCTATAGGTGAATTCAGCTCAAGTCATGCTGTTAAGTTAGGCATCACTTCAGCAACTAATAGGAGTACAACATATTTGAAAGAGATGGGATAGCAAGCTCGAAAAAAGCAGGTACAAATAACACATCCGGACGCTGGCGACCCAGTCTCAAAATCATTGCGACACTCATGATTGCCTTTCGAAATACGTGTGACCCTTTTACGAAAATGCTTGGCCACTTGTTATGAAATTTGGCAGCGTTCCAAAACGCATGCCACTTGGCAGCAATCCAAGAATGAACATATGTACATTTCATCATATTTTTTCCGTCTGCTGTCTCTTCGTTGGCCGTGTTCCACGGATCAGGGGTGGCCAAGCGGTAAACAACAAATTCATTATATATTACGTAGTGATGTATAAAGCTGAAAGTCTGTTTGTCTGTCTTTCTCTCTGTATGTATATGTATGTAAATGTGCATGTTTGTTCCGAATACAAATTCTATTTCTGAACCGATTCGCTCCAAACTTGGCACACATACACTTTGGGGCGGGGCGGAGGTCGTGGGCTACTTTTCGTTATCGATCGACATCGATTTTTTATCAAATTTTTTACAGGGGTGGGTATGCTGATTCTAACACAGCGGGAATAGGGAATTGGCATGTAAAAGTGGGCAGAGGGAAAGGTTGTACAGGGATAGGGATGGGACCTTTATCATAGTGTTTTGGCAGGGTCGGGCGGAGCCAGGTAAGCCAGATGACAATATATATATATATATATATCACTGGCGGTCCCAGGATTTCCCTCCGGGAGGGGGGGGGGGATTGGTCGCGGCAAAAAAATTTTTCCAGTGAAGATGCGTGGCGTTAGCCATGCACTCCGATAAATTTTTTGGAGTGCTTCTCAAATTTTTTGCGGGCCCCCTACTTACAAGAACAAACAAGTCACTTGCACATTTTTGCAACCCAATTAAATTTCAAAAATTTCTACATTGGTTATAAAAATTTGCAAGTGACTTGTTTATTCTTATAAATAATTTAAAAAATTCTGAAATTTTTTAAAAATTCAGATTAGCCTCGTAAAAAAATTTTTTTCGGAAGCTTTCGGGGTTAGGGGCCGCAAAAATGTTGGGAAGCATAGCAGAAATTTTTTCGGAGTGCCTAACGCCACGCACCTTCATTTGAAAATTTTTTTTGCCGCCCTTCCCCCCCCCCCTCCCGGTCCGAAATCCTGGGACTGCCACTGACATATTAGGTTGTCCCGAAAGTTTTCTCCGTTTTTTTCATCGCTCACTAAATTTTACAGAACACCAATCCATGGACGACTTAGCCGCCATTTGATTCAGATTTTTATCCTCTTTCTTACAGATATATTTGCTCTCTGATCTACCCCGTATTTGCAATGCTATCGCCATGGCTTTTTGAGCAGCTCAGCAGTAACGCCAAATCTTTCCTGAATCTCAGAAATTTTTATCCTGATGTTTTCAAAGAGCGCTGGTAACTGTCATGTAGAGCCAACCTTTGGCTATATTGTACCCATTTTAGATTACATAGGCCACGTTTACCAAGACCGTTATAATTATTTATTCTATAAAAACCGCGGCTTTTTGATTATGTTTACAACGTAAAGATACCGAAAATTCCAAAAGTCTGCTTTTTCAAAGCAAATCAAACTTGGTTATGTTGCATAAATGATGTTTAATAAGAATCATGTCTCAGTTCACAGAAACTTCGAAAGCTTTCGCGTATTTGCTGCCGTTGCGTGTTTCATGACTTGGCCAAAAATCGAGACCTCCAAAAAAAAACAATTCTTCAAAGTTGAAAACAGCATACTAGGAGAATCTAAAAGCATTACCCTGTAGTCCGAGAATTGCTCTACTACAGTGCTGGCCATAGCTATAAAGCCACCCTAAAAATCACTGTAATTTGCTCTCTCTTGTTCGAAGTTGTCGGAAAAACCACCAGTCTGTGTGCAAACTAACGTCATATCATTGACCCAGGACAGCTCCCAATTTCACTGATTTTGGGCGGAGAAAAATTGAAAATTGAAAAAAGGGGTTTTCAAGGCTGGTCACAGCTATAAAGCCACCTCTCATTTCCAATCAGTATTACGTTTTTTGAACCTGAAATTTTTTGTGCATATACAACATCAAAATAAAAACCATCTGTCACATTTGGAAGCAGTCGCCTTTCTAAAAAGAAGATTCATCTTGCATTTTTTGCTTCAAAATGTATAAAAAGTTATGATGTTTAGGAAAACTGCCTTTTTACCGAAATCTCAAGCATTTGTTTGACTGGAATGAAGGTTCTAGGCTCGCCGAGACTTTGCAATGAATATGGTGAAAAGCGCAGGGGTCAACATGACGTGGTCGCAGATATTGATAGACGAGCCTCATCTTACCGAGGTGTAAGCACGCTTCTGAGACGCAAAACTCGTTTTCTGACGCGCGAAAATTTTCTGTTGGAAGTTGACACCTTGTTTGCATGGTGACGTACTCATGCAGAAGCTGTCAGGCTTTTTACAAAGACGTCCTTGCAGCACTGAACCCAGAACGCTTTGTCTGCAGTTCGGTTGTGCGCAGTGTATCTCACATGACTTCAAATTTTACTGCTTTGAACTCCTCTTCAAGTCAAATCTTACAAAACTGTCAGGAATACTAGAATTTTGAAGTTTTGAGCGGTTTTTCGTTCGATCGAGAGGTCAGAGTGTGTCGTGACCAGGCAGAGTGCACCACTCATTTTTGGAAAAAAGGCGTCCAAGGCGGAACCAAAATCCTGAGAATTGCGATGACGTCCAAACTATGTGCACGAGTCTGTCGTTGTACAGGCGACGAACTAAGCACATGACAAAGCTTTGTGGGCATTAGAACTCAATTTCTGCGGTTCGAAAACTCGTCTATCTGGAGGTGAGGTTGAGCTCGTTTATCAATATCAGCGAAAACGTCATGTTGACTCCTGCGCTTTTCAACATACTCATTGCAAAGGCTCGGCGAAGCCTAGGACCTTCATTCGAGTCTAACAAATGCTTGAGAATTCGGTGAAAAGGCAGTTTTTTTAAACATCGTAACTTTTTATACATTTTAAAGCAAAAAATGCAAGATGAATCTTCTTTTTAGAAAGGCGACTGCTTCCAAATGTGACAAATGGTTTATATTTTGATGTTGTATATGCACAAAAAATTTCAGGTTCAAAAAACGTAATATTGATTGGAAATGAGAGGTGGCTTTATAGCTGTGACCAGCCTTGAAAACCCCTTTTTTCAAATTTTCCAATTTTTCTCCGGTCAAAAGCAATGAAATTGAGAGCCGTCTTGGGTCAATGATATGACGTTAGTTTGCACACAGAATAATGGTTTTTCCGACAATTTCGAACAAGAGAGAGCAAATTACAGTGATTTTTAGGGTGGCTTCATAGCTATGGCCAGCACTGTATGCTTGAATTTTCCGGGTACTCCGGAAGGAAATTTTTGAAAATTAGCCTAACTTTGAGCAGATAAAATTGATGGGTGGAGAATTTTGGCAATTATCAAAAAAAGCATACAAGATTATAGTTCGCGAATATATCCACAAGAAGGGAAGGAAAAGCTGCATCGAATGCATGTTGAAACTCGTTCAGGTCTTTATCGTGCAAGGTTTTAGAGTGGTTTGAAAAAACGGACAAAACTTTTGAGACAACCTATTATACATGTATATATATATATATATATATATATATATATATATATATAACTGTTTAATACGAATATGTATATAGAGGGTGTCCCAAAAAATGTGAACACTGTTTGATCGTTAATAACTCCGTTTGTTTTCATGTCTCTCGCCGAGGTTGAGGCACCATTCTGTAGAACGAGGTTCATCTTAGATTTCTAGTATGAAGTGAATCATCGATCGCTTTTCGTTACTGTAGGATTACGGTATGAACTCTAGCATGTGTATCATTGTGAAATATGCCATTTGACAAAGTTTTTTTTTTCAAAAATATAAAAAATTTGTACTAGGGTTTTCGTGCACGCTGATTCCACTACACAACTTTTTTGTTTGTTTTTAGCTTATTTGACGGTGTAGTCACATTTCTGACTAATGTTCGAAATTTAATTATCACGGTTTACCTGAAATAACCTTGAAAAGAAGCACCATAGTAGAGTGGGCATTTCATATTCGAAATCAGCGGCATCCATTACCATGGTATAAGAGTTTTTGGCTCATTTGATTTTGTTCCGAGGCAGAATATGGCCCCAATGGCCTAAAATCTTTGTCGAAATTCCTACCATAATCTTACAGTAAGGAAGACTGATTGCTGATTCGCTCCATACTGTAAATCTAAGTTGAACCTCGCTCTAAAGAATGGTGCCTTATGCTCGGCGAAAGACATAAAAGCAAGGAAGTTATTTACAATCAAACAGTGTTCACATTTTTTGGGACACCCTGTATAATAGAGCTCTCATCGCTCTCCCTGTACAACTTGCCCTGCCCACGTCTCATGCTGATTCTCTATTCCCGCTGGGTTTGTAATCAGCATGCTCGATCACCCCCCCCCCTGTGCCAACTCCCAGCCCCGCAGCTCAAACTTTGCAAAAAAATCGATAAAATCGATAAAAGTAGCGAATAGTATCAAAAACTAATATTGCATTCGTAATCAGCATGCTCGATCACTCCCCTGTGCCAACGCCCATACCCGTAGCTCAAACTTTACAAAAAATCGATAAAAATTGACATATCGATCGGTGACGAAAAGAAGCTTATGAACCCGCTCCGTCCCGAAGTGTATGTGTGAGAAGCTTGCTCCGGATCTGTTCAGAGATACAAATTTTATTCGGGACATACGTACAGACAGGCAGGCTTACAGACATACAAACGGACATTCAGCTTTACATATAAGAATATATACTAGATATACTTTTTTAAAATGCGATTGCGGAGTTCCAATCGCTTTGATGTATATTTGTGGCGATGTGAAATTCGTTACGTGTTGTTGTCTTAATAATGGTTTATTTTTGCAGAAAATATCTTCCTCGGGGACATCCGGAATTAACACAGCGGTTGCGAACGGCTTTTTTAAGAAAAATGCAGTATTGCCCGGCTACAGAATTTCGTTCTCTACTTGTCGAGGTGAATTTTCTCTTGTCTTCAAATTTCGCAGAATAGCATAGTGGAACAACAGTCAGATCTGCTGCCAGGTGGAAGGATGGCAATTTAGAAACGATGGACGATTCTTGGATTTACTAACGCAGAGAAAATCTGGCAGAAATACTGTTATTCTAGAGAAATTTGCCGATAAAATTACCAAACTAAGTAACTTTGTGCTGAGGGGTCTAAGTTATCATGTCAGATTTCCTTTTTGTGGAAAGCCGCAGAGATAGACAAGGTACGGCCCAATAATCTTGAGGTTATCTTATCTGCAGCCCGTTTATCTGGTTTTAGATCATGTGTCGATTCTGCTCCACCTACCTATGATTCGATAGTGCCGATAATTGTTTTCGTAATTATAAATGCAAATCTCAAAATAACACAAACGAAATTGCGCCATCTTCATATACTTTGTACGGATCTGGATTTTGACAAGAGGACCGCGCGGTGGCACCTAAGTTAGCTCGGTTGGAAGGAGGCATACAAATTCTGAATCACCTTCAAATGCTGATTCTTATTATGCTATGCCTAGCTGCGCCTCATCAATCTGAAGCGAGTTGTTGATTTTTTTTTAAATTGGCGTACTCATCGACTTAGTGACATCACGGCATCATAATCTAACAAGGAGAGGATACTCGGTCGAATTGGCGTTTCCATATAAAATGTATATTGTTTTTAGGGCATAAAACGCTGATTCCAAACCTGCTTTCGGTATCTGCAAAACATTTCTGGGAGAGGAGTTCTGAGAATTTTTGAAGCAAAAATTTCAATGCGCAAATACATCAATCATTCAGAACTTAGTTTGCGAGCTCAAATGGGGCTATGATCACCGCTAGGGCGCTTTATATAGTCAATATCTTCGTTTGATAAACTGATGCTAATCATTACTGCTTTCAAGCGCCGGGAGGACCTCAACATCTGCTTTTAGCTTAGCCAAAGCCTTAAATTTTTGCCACGAATAGTCACAAAACTCCCCTCCCAGAAGCGCTTTGCAGATACCGAAAGCAGATCTGGAATCAGCGTTTCATCTTATATATAAAGCTGAATGTCTGTTTGTATGTCTGTCTGTATGTCTGTAGGTCTGTCTGTATGTCTGTCTGTACGTATGTTCCGAATAGAAAATTCCATTTCTGAACCGATCGGGACCAAACTTGGCACACATACACTACGGGCCCCGGCGGATGTCATAGGCTACTTTTCGTCATCGATCGATATCGATTATATCGATTTTTTGCAAAATTTGAGCTACGGGGCTGGGAGTTGGCACAGGGAGGTAAGTGAGCATGGGGATTCCGAATACAATATTAGTTTTCGAAACCGTGCATTACTTTTATCGATTTTATCGATTTTTTGCAAATTTGAGCTAGGGGCTGGAATTTGGCAGAGGGGTGTAATCGAGCATGCTGATCACCCCCGTAGCTCAAATTTTGCAAACGATAAAATCGATAAAAGTAATGCACGGTTTTAAAAACTAATATTGTATTCGGAATCCCCATGCTCACTTACCTCCCTGTGCCAACTCCCAGCCCCGTAGCTCAAATTTTGCAAAAAATCGATATAATCGACATCGATCGATAACGAAAAGTGGACTGTGACACCCACCGGGGCCCGAAGGGTATGTGTGCCAAGTTTGGTCCGGATCGGTTAAGAAATGGAATTTTCTATTCGGAACATACGGCGGAGCCGGATAAGCCAGCTAGTGCTCTATAAGATGGTATACATTTCGCATGGGAACTCCACTTCGACCAAGTATCCTTCCCTTGTAAGTACTTATACACGTACAGTGACCGCCAAAAAGTTGCGGACATGCCGCCTTCCTTTTTTCACCGCTCATTTTCGGATGGAAAACAAAGTTTAAGAAATGATTGGATTGCATGAGGTGATAGAGCTCTTCAAGAGCTACAACACACACATTGCGCTTTCTGGAAATTATGTATTCTAAAAATTTTAAAAGTCTTTTTCCAAAAAAAGTCCGAAAATAGCCGAGTCATAATGTCGCGGACAGTAATTCTTCGAGCGAAAATTTTCCTTTAGGTCTTGGTTTGGAGCAAAAACAGAAGTCTTCTTGATAGGTAAGCATACTGTATCTTAGGCCCGTATGCACGTACGTCCGCGCTGGGGAGGGGAAGGGAGCCGGATCCCCAGGGGAACGATCCTCTCCGCCGAACCCCGCCATGACAGAGGGGAGGGGAGCGATCCCCTTCCTCACCTAAACGGGGATGGTGTGAATGGTTTCAGAGGTATTGATCGAGCGAACCCCAGTGCATACAGGGTTCGAATGGGGGTCCCCTCCCCCACTCGAACCCCGTATGCGCGAATTTAATCAATAACGCGGGGGAGGGGATCGACATAACCTACAACGGAGTAGGGGATCGATGGTGTAGGTCAAGCCAGAGAAGCGAGTTTTCTGATTTCAATCAATTATTACAACGCATTTCGTTCAAATCGATGAAAGATTGTCTACGGGAGCCGGGTTCCTCTCTCAGCGACCTGTAGCTTGCAGTTTTAACTCTCTCTTCCATATTCGCTTCTTGTAAAGAAATGGACATATATGTGCCAGTTTCGAATATCTGTAGAAGGTTGTGACCATTCACGAGTGTTGCGCATTTTCTATTAGACATGATAGTTTTATCCATTAAGGCTGGTACAACATATTGTAACTATCACATTATATGATAAAAAAATTGTTCTTATCTTGTTATCCTAACGTAAAACTGCTTTGAACAAAATGAAAATTAGCAGACTCGCGTGTTTCTGAGTAAAGATTCTCAGGGGACTGATCCCCTCTCCATCGCTCCCCTCGTGCATAGCAGGGATGGTCTTGGGGATCATTCCCCTGGGGTAAAGGACGATATGCAGCTGATAGCTACAGCGTTTAGGAGAGCTGGCACGATTTGCAGCTTCAATTATGTGTAGAAATGCTGGTTTGAATGTCCGCAGCACCCCCCCCCCCTTTTTTTCGGCAGCAAAACGTCTTCTACCCATTCACTGCATATACATACACCTTGACTTCTATCATTGAACACCTTTGAGCTGAAATGGGCAGCATGGGCGAAAATGAGCAGCATCCATGAAAAGGAATATAATGGATGTAGGAAATTTCTTTAGTGTGCCGATCGCAATCACGGCAGACGGCATTTCGCAACGACTAAATATCGCCGAGACACATTGAAGGCGAGTAGCTATCAAAAGATAAGAAAAAAGGAATAGTCACTGCAAAAAAGCGGAAGCAAAATGAATTCCCCGCTCGATCTCCCCTTCTGCATAAGGGGGCTCCCCTCCCCTACTCCCAGAGGATCCCCTCTCCGGTATTGCCTTTCTGCATACGGGGATTCGTTTGGGGAAGGGAGGGGAGCCCCAGCGGGGATCATTGCAATGGTTAAACTCACATCCCCTCCCCGCGGGGATGTACGTGCATACGGGCGTTAGAGGTAGTCGAAGACAATAATCGGGTAGTGCTTACTTTCAAAAAAACCCAAGCTTGAATTTTATGTTGCTTTTTTTTAAAAATAACTTCTAATTACCTTTTTCAAGCAAAATTCTTCACATGAGAACCTATTCAAGGCATTCCAACAAAGCTGTTCGGATGAAGTAGATGCTCTTTGCCATCCTCTATGCATCGAGCATGTGCTGAGTTTCTTTGTTAGAAATGGCTCTTGACAGTGCGTGCACATGACCCCGTGTGCACCTCACTACTGACTTGCACCGCTTTGCAGGCTTTGGCCAGCAGTCACTTTACGAGCCTGCATGTAGGCTCATTCGAAAGAGCATGATTTCCTCGATGCAATGGTATGCAAATTGATTGGGTTTGGGAAGACTCGGGGATTTGACGGATGGGGTGATAAAGCGCAGCCTCAGTGGTAGGCTAAGGTTTTTTCAGCTAAGGTTGAACAGTCTTGATAACAGTTCCATCCCATAGGTTTGAAACTGTCAGGTTTCTTGTAATAAATCCATTTCGAAGCTCTAAGACTGCTCTGATGTTGATAAGAGCTTTCACTCCAATCACCTTCAAAGCTGTCCTTTTTCACCCCATCCGTCAAATCTCCGGGTCTTCCCATACCCAACCAGTTTGCATACCATCGCATCGAGGAAAACATGCTCTTTCGAGTGAGCCTAAGTGCAGGCTCGTAGAATGACTGCTGGCCGAGTTACAAGCCTGCAAAGCGGTGTAAGTCAGTGGTGAGGTGCAGACGGGGTCATGTGCACGCACTGTCAAGAGCCATTTTCAGGAAGGAAACTCACTAGCACGCGTCCGATGCATAGAGGATGACAAAGAGCATCCCGTTTACCTGAACAGCTGTGTTAGGATTGAATAGGTTCAAATGTGAAAAAATTTGGCCTGAAAAAGGTAATTAGAAGCTTTTTTTGAAAAAAAGCAAAATAAAATTAGCTTGGGTTTTCTGGAAGTAACCATTATCCGATTATTGGCCTCGACTAGCTCTATAATATAGTATGCTTATTTATCAAGAAAACTTCTGTTTTTGCTCCAAACGAAGACCTAAAGGAAAATTTTGGCGTTTGAAGAGTTATTGTCCGCGACATTGTGACGCGGCCATTTTCGGACTTTTTCTTCAGAAAAAGGCTTTTAAAATTTTTAGAATACATATTTTCCAGAAAGCGCAATGTGTGGGTTGTAGCTCTTGAAGAGCTCTATCACCTCATGCAATCTAATCGTTTTTTCATCTTTGTTTTCCATCCGAAAATGGGCGATGAAAAAGGAAGGCGGCTTGTCCGCAATTTTTTGGCGGTCACTGTATGTTAAGTTTCTTGTCAGTGAGAAAAGACTCGATCTGGGGCGGTATGTATCAGTCGTCCGTCCGAGTAAGTTATCCGCACAGGTAATTTCCGCTTCATAGCTCGGTGCTCTGGGAATCTGTGTTCCTTTTGGAGACTCCACCACCCTAATATAGCACAATGAGTAGCAGCACTTCGCTGTATAAGATGAGATAATTCGTTATTTGTATGATCCCGAATGGGATCTTCCACTGATTACGCTCATTTTCAAAGTCATTCATATCCGCAAAAACTCAATAAAAACGTCACAGAGTTTTGCTGTCCATTTATTACGACAGTGCTACGCATGTTTGTGAAAGAAATAAGTGAAAAATCGAGTTGACAAAATCTTCGATGAACCTGTGCTCGCGAGTTGGGCTTTATTGAAGAACTCAAAATTTGCACATTTTATCTGTGCTACTAAAAACATGCGTAGCACTGTCGTAATAGATCGAGAGCAAAACTCTGTGACTTTTTCATTGAGTTTTTGCGGATATGAATGGCTTTGAAAATGAGCGTGATCAGTGGGCGATCTCGTTCGGGAACATGCAAATAACGATTTATCTCAGCTTATACAGCAAAGTGCTGCTACTCATTGTGCTACAATATCAGGGTAGTAGAGCCTCCAAAAGATGAACAAACAAGCACCGATCTATGAAGCGGAAACTACCTGTCCGGGTAACTTACCCCGACGGGCGATTGATACATACCGCCCCTGATGTTATTTCGATATCCCAGCACCTTTTTCGGGCAGATTTTTACCTACAGGCAGTCTTCCCTTATCAAGTAATATGCGACTTTCGTAGAGTAAAAGCTCATAACTCGCTTCAAAATGGAGCGCCGCAGCTAGTCATACCATATTTGGACCAGCATTTCAAGCTGATTCAGAATAATTACGTTTTTTTTTACAAAAGTTAGGTGCCTTTCTTCATTAGTAGTGTGCAAATGTGACAGTGTTCATCGCCATTGTTATATGACTTTGTTCTTTGACGCAGTTTCTTAAATTAATGCGAATCATCAAGCAGATCAATGCGTTAATTGAGCGATGACCTGTTGATAATCTAATAGCCGATTGCTCTGGGGCGTGTTATGCTGCACTCTCCAACCGCCATTTTTAGGGTATGTGATTGAGCAATGTAGAAGATTGAATTCTAGATCTAACCTAGTGCAGAGTTTCGCATTGATTTATTGGATCACCTTAGAAGTTTCAAGCTCTTCTCTTCCAACCGCGTATTCTCGCAGAATGAACATTACTTTTGATTCATTTTAGTTTGAAGAAGCTAAAAGGTTTGGCTCAGTGATAGTTTGGCCTGGTTATGGATCTGATGGTGAGGATTGTTGAGAGCATTCTTCTCCTCTGTTTTCCAAAGTTCTGGAGTCATTTAGTGCCGTTGGAATACCGCCAACTTTCATTTCTACGAGCTTCATAGTACCTACTGGGAAAAATCAATTAGCAGGGCAAATTCCGTCCCATTCAGTATTTTTTGAATTGTAAATTTTTTTCTCGAGAATTGTCTATTCAGCATTCTTTTGCGCACAGCAGGGTAGCATGCTCAACCTCATAAGAAAGGCACCATCCACTTATATTTGACTTCCTCGTTTTGATCGTTGTGAGGCCTTCTCATGTCCCTGTTTCCGAATATAAAGTCGAGAATCCGCGAAAACTCCTACAATCCCCGTTCCGAAGAACCAGCAGCCGGCTTTCGGGAACGATGATTGGGGGCGCGCACGGATGGGCGGGCATTGCTGGAGCGAGGCGGTGCCGACTTGGGGCCCTCATGTAGTATCTTCGCCTATTCGAAGCGATTTTCTTGCTTCCGAAGCGACATTCTGCGCCGCAGCTTGGGCATTGGCTTGATAGGGGGTCCTTCTATCATAAGCTGCCAAAAGCTAAAACCACCTAATTCATGGACTTTGCCTCTAACGGGTAATTACCAGTGGCGTAGCGGGGGGGGGGCCGAGAACGGGTCGCGAAGTTTTGAAAATTACTTATATGGGTTATAAAAATGCGCAAGTGACTTGTTCATTTTTGTAAACAATTAAAATATTCTTTAAAAATTTTTAAAAATTCAAATTAGCTTTGTAAAAAAAATTTTTTTCGGAAGCGTGGCGTCCCCTTTTTTCAGATTTTAGGGGTTGAGGACCCGCAAAATTTAGAAGCACCCCCAAAAAATTTTTCGGAGTGCGTGGCTGACGCCAGCACCTTCATTAGTAGAAAATTTTCGTCACCCCCCCCCCCCGAGCCGAAATCCTGGGTACGCCACTGGTAATTACATGTTTTGAAATTATTTTGCCGTATAGAGTATGATAATATATTGGTTCCGGAAACTATTGACATCACAATGGAAGGTGCTTAGTCGAAGTGGCCTTTTGAGATGAGAGCTTACCCTCTTGGAGGGCGTGAAGCGCTGATCTCGAAAATATCTTCCGTATCTGCGGAGCATCTTTGAGCGAGGAGATATGAGTGTTTGTAGGTGCAAAAAATCGAATAAGCAACTGGATAGAACAGCCGTTGAAATTCTGCTAACTCAAATAAGGCAGCGGTGAGTGAAAGAATACCTGAACTAAGAGTATTTATTGTACGGACTGCCCTGACAGTTACACGGATGCATTTGAGATCCAGGAAGAATATTACGAACGTTTTGATATGGGAGGTGCATTCAATTTTTACTCTGATAAACGCTCATACCTCCTCGTCCAGACACGTTCCGCAGATAAGGAATGCATATTCGGAGTCAATGTTTCATGCTCTACAAGATGGTGTGCATTTTACCACTTCCTCTAAACATCCTTTCGGAGTTAGGTGGAGTCCAGTATAAGATCTTTCACTTCTTGCATTCGTAATCTCAAAAGCAGTAAATTATCGTAGAGCTTTGCCGATTCAGAACTTTAGAAGACGTATGGAGAGGGCTTCTCGTGCGCATCTCTTGTATAGCAATCTTATATATAAGTGCTAACAGGGAAAGGCTTTACAGGGATAGGGATGGGAACTTTATTATAGTGTTTTGACAGGTCCGAGCGGAGCCGGGTAAGCAAGCTAGTGCATAGTATTTTACAGGCTCACGGAAGCGCCATTCTTAGTCATGGGGAGGATCACTCCATCACAAGGGAGTTGTCATCTCACCTCACTCTTGTTCAATAGTACCACATAGAAGTTGTCATCATTATTGAGTTAAGTTCAAATAATTGGTTCCATATGACCATACTGCATCAGACGTTTATTATCAATTTACTCTTCAAGTGATATCCAGGTTTTCTGGTGTTATAACAGCGTTGTATTGTACTCATAAATGTACTTGTAACAAATCATTGTACTCCATCGTTACTCGAAGTATTTTATGCCCTCGTTCTGCTTATTCATCTGATACACTTTTTTTTTGTCTTATGTTTCATAATTTATGGCTAATGCATTCCTGATCAGTCCTTACTTGGATTGAAAGTCTTGATTCAACGTGGTAACGCTTTGTATTGATTAATTTGATAGGCGAAACAGACGAAGGAGGTTGCGGGAACTTACCTACCCGAAAGACTTGCCGCAGCGTACCTTAGGTATTACAGCAGTCAGATACGCAATTAGCATAGCGTACAGAGCCTAGTCTGTGTGTGTTCTAAGCCCCGCCCCCATTCATCGACGCTTTCGCGATGCATCCATCAATCATGAAACCGGGAATACAATAGAATCACAAATCTGATGTTCAGCAATTATCTACTCAATTTCGATTAAAATACAGATTTAGGGATTTTCTGGAGCGTTATTTTCAAATATACTATTGGTTTTGCGCTGTCTTTTCTTAGGGCCGCATGCACTAACCTCCCCGCGGGGAGGGGATCGCAGCTCAAAAGAAAGCTTTATATTTCGAAAATCCAGATACCTGGATTTCACGTTGTGTACCTATTCGTAAGTATTCCTACTACCCTTCACTATGAACATGTTGAACAGGAGCGAGAAGCTGTACGAACCGCATTTTCCAGCTTTTGTATGATCCCTGATGATCCCCGGCGCTCTTCTTTAAAGTCATTTTTCTTCCTCCGAAGTTAACGGAAACCTTCCAAAGTTGTACTGAACATCTAACACAACAGTGCTAAGCATGCTGCTGATGAGAACAAATGAGTTTTTGAAAAGTCGAATTTTCGGTAAACCTCAAATTTCGACCTGTGGATCATCGAAAATTTCATGATTCAAAACATCATTTGTTCTTATCAGCAACATGCTTAGCACAGTCGGATTAGATAATCTGCACAACTTTGGAAGGTTTTCGTTAACTTCGGAGAAAGAAAAATGACTTTAAAGAAAAGCGCCGGGGATCATCAGGGATCATACAAAAGCTAAAAAATGCGGTTTGTACAGCTTCTCGCTCCTGTTCAACACGTTCATAGTGAAGGGTAGTAGGAATACTTACGGATAGGTACACAACGTAAAATCCAGGTATCTGGAGTTTCGAAATATAAAGCTCGCTTCTAAGCTGTGATCCCCTCCCCGCGGGGAGGTTAGTGCATGCGGCCCTTACAGAGTCGTTTTACTTTGGTGGATTCGAAATTTAGCTTAAGAAATCTTGACAAAAAAGTAAAGCATGCCTTAGGACGCGTGTAAAACTGCTTTTTCACTGTTTCTCTCGGAACTCTGGACAAATGACCCATTTTTCTAGTGAGAACAGCATGCCCTGAGGATGTAGCCTTAATGGTAAAAGACTATGAAGGTCGGCTAGTCTATCAAACGATCCATGTGTACAGGACGCTGCACATATTTCTGTAATTCAAATATTTCATCTATATACAGAAAGTGAAGTTCAGTATTTTGAATTTACCTGGTCTTTGTTATCCATAACAATTTTTTTACCAGTCGGATGATTTCATATTTTTAAGATTCTCGTTTTTTTCATAAAATTGAGAATTTCTAATTCGGCACTTTCATAATCAAATTTGCACCATCTTTTTTTCTTTCCATCAGCTCCATTTTGAGCCTCGCAGCCATCTTCTAGCACATTCTGGCGCCGAGCCAGCCTCGATGTCTTCAGGTATTGCCAGGTTTTCTGGCATGTCTTGGTTCTATGCCAAAAAGGTGCAGTGTGTGGGCGGGGCTTAGCTTAGCGCGGTGTCCTAAGGAGCATATGGAATCAGCGAACTCGCTATGCCTAATTATCCCCCGCAGACGGGTGTAAGCCCTTTTGAACCCTTCGCGCGCGATGCTCGTTTCGCCGCGTGCGGCGCCGCTGGCAAGGCTCACGAGTCGCATTCGCAGTCAACGGAGAAAAATCTTGATTTGAAGCATGTAATATACCTGTGCCAAACCTATCATCATGTTGGACACGAAAGATGTACAAAAATGAACGAGTATTAACTCGTTCGGCTTTCCCCCTTTGCTCCGTTCTTTGACCAATCAGAGACGCGCCGTGATAGCGAGCGGTTCAATTGGGCCGTTTCCCCCCGCAGACACACACCCATGATGTGCGAGAATATCTCTGGTAGGCAAGTTTCGTTCCCCGATGAAGGATGATAAAAATATCTATCATGATGTTGACAAGGATCAGCCGGATAGAGATGAAACACTCGCTCCCTTGTAACAATGGGGTTTGTGTGATTCTATTTCCATATGAATCTGCACCGCCTCAGTGGCGTCAATGTACAAAACGTTTTGCCCCGTGCAATTTCCTTTACGTAATTTCTCGCAAGCAAAGACCGGAGGCTACTAGTACTGCTACAATGCAGTGACCGCACCGATCGCATTGATCGCATAAATTATCGCTTTGTGATATCGTTATCGCTTGTTATCGCTTCACGCTTCAAATCCCTCGAGCAGGTACAGTCTGTCCCAATCGGGTTCAGGCCGAACCGTTGGCCAGACTTGTGCACTCGCAGCTCTTTGGTTTTGCGCTGCATACGCACGCTGTCTGGAAGTCTCAGACAATCAAAGGCTCTCAGCGGGCAGCCACAAAGCCACCGCCAAATCACACCAAAAGCGCCGTGCCTTATCGCCTCACCGTCACTTCCCGCTGAAGACTTTATAGCAGCTCGCTCGCTGCCGGTCGTAGCACGGTTCTCAGCGGGAACTGGCAGTGAGGCGAAAAGGCACGACGCTTTTGGTGGGGTTTGGCGGTGGCTTTGTGGCTGCCGCTGAGAGCCTTCGATTGTCTGAGGTGGAGAGATCGAGGAGAGAGCAGACAAGCTAGCCGCAGACGTGACGGGGTGTATGCTAAAAGGAACGGTAGCTGGAAATAAGCAGACTGTACTGCTGCGGTTGTCAATATGCCGCGCATAAGTCTCGTTTTTTAAAGCGACATGCTCTTCATTGGATTGAAAATGGTGTCGAACAGTAAGAATCAAAGCATGCCGAGCTCTCACGTTTTTTCCAAATTCTTTGATCTTGAAATATTTGATCTACGCAATGCATACGGCTGGCACAAGCTATCGTTCACTCAGATAATCGCCGGGGCAGGCGTCCATGTGATTTTTGGGCAAACGGACGCCGGGAAAATAGTTCGCTGATTTCTTGCGGTTCGCTTGCAGAAATTTGGAAGGATGTTGGCCAATTTTCAGACGAATGCTCGTAGAACAGCCGTGGTTTTTCTATAGATTAGTTGCGGCGCACTGGCCACATTCTCGCGGACTTTACGCGATAATATACAAAATTGTTGAGGGCCGCGCGGTCCTTTGTGGAGGGCCGCACATCCCACAGGTAATTTCCGCTATAAAAAGTTCCCCAAACTCGGGTAATTAAACCATCGATGACACTTTTGCCACATAGAGTCTCACCTTTGCTCGGCGTATGCCCGAAACTGCTTGAAAAGAATCTGAGCGCCTGCTGAAAGTTTGGGCAGCGCTCGCTGAAAGAGATTATTTGACGAGCGCTTGCAGAAAACTTTATATTGCTGCCCGCTTGCAGAACACGGTAGTACAGCTCGCTGACGGTTTTTCCACGCCCCAAAATCTTGCCGACCGCTTGCAGAAAAGAGCGAGTTTGCAGATGGCCTGCCCCGGCGATCATCTGAGCATGTTGGCTGCCCTCCACTCCCGCCATGCTAATTTCGATATGATTAGGATTGGGACAGACTGTACAGTCGAACGAATCTTCCGCTCAATATAATGTGCTTGCACTGCAGGTGAAATGCGATAAAATTTGCACGTGAACGAATAGCACGCTAGCAGTGCTGTTATTTTGCACGCAACTGGCGGCGTCAAAGGCGTACAGTCGAGTAGATTTTCCGCTTAATATAGTGTGCTTGCACAGTTTATGAAATGCGGTATAATTTGCGCGTGAACAAATAGTTACAGTCGAGTAGATTTTCCGCTCAATATAGTGTGCTTGCACAGAAGGTGAAATGCGGTAAAATTTGCGCGTAAACAGGTAGCTGCGCCAGCACTGCCGGCATTTTGCGCGCGCAATTGGCCGGCGTCACAGGCGGCTATTTCCTCAAGCGCAAATTTTACCGCATTTCACCTTCTGTGCAAGCACACTATATTAAGCGGAAAATCTACTGGACTTTAACTATTTGTTCACGCGCAAACTTTACTGCATTATACCCGCGGTGCAAGCGCATTGTATGAAGCGAAAAATCTACTCGACTGTATGTTTGCGACATTCTTAATGGAGATGAAAATCAGCAGGTGATTTATCATGCCAATACAGATTGTCTATGCGAATGCAGGTTGTGCTTGTGGTTTATTGTTTCTTTTTAACATAAGCTGTATAAAAATACCACTTGCCGAACCAGGGATTCGACTAATGGCGTAGAGGTGCCTAACCTTTTTTGAAGACGTATGCAAGGTGTCCTAGCATGTAACGAATGATCGCTGTATTAAAAGCTTTCGACCTCTACGTAGCTATCGTGAGGCTGGCTTCATTAACAAACGGAGCGAACAACTCATTGTTCTTGTACTGTAGGATTACCATAGGGATGTTTAGGATTTGAGTTCGTGATACAAAACTTTTAAAAAAGTGGAATCTGCAGAACTTGAAATCTTTGTTACCACGTCAATTAGCATTGCTGATTTTTCATATGGGCCTTTCGTCCTACTGTCATTTTTAGTACATAAGTTGCGAAAGGTTTACCGTAACCGCGGTTTTCTTAAAAATACTCATAAATCTAATTTTACCATCTAAGTTGCTCTAGTACAAAGTCATTTACTAGAATCAGCGAATTTTGATCTCACCTTAAATTTGTGTTGTGATCCTACCGTATTCGCTGTTAAACAGGCACAGGCAACGCGTGATTCTTTTGCACAGTGAATCTAACAAAGAAGGGTCGCGAAAGTGACGCGGCCGATCACCACAAGTTGCGTACCATTAGTGAGAGCTTGGAATGCTGAGCTGAGTCCAAATCAGTTTTCCATTCTTGCAGAGCGCCTCTGAGAAAGAAGTTATGGGCATTTTTTG